CGCGAACACCACGCCGCTCTGCGCGTTCACGGACACGTAGGAGGACAGCGCCTGTGGCTCCAGGTCGCTGGCCACGATGGAGTAGGAGATGAGGCTGTTGGGCCCCAGGTCGGGGTCTGAGGCGCTGACCTGCGCAATGGAGGTCCCGGGCGGGTTGTTTTCTGGCACATGAACCAGGTAGGAGGACTGTTGGAAAATGGGAGGGTTGTCATTGACGTCGGTGATGTGCAGGGTGATGGTGGTGCTGGAGGAGAGGGGAGGTTTGCCCTTGTCAGTAGCTGTGATGGTGACGTTGTACTCAGGGGTCTGCTCCCGGTCAAGGGTTCCGTCTGTTACCAATTTATATGAACTTTTGGACAAAGAGATTATCTGAAAAGGGACTTCACCTTCTAATCTACAATTAACTTCCCCATTTTCCCCAGAATCCTGGTCATGTATTTTGATCAATGCAATTAACATTCCTGGCACTGAGTTTTCCAAAATCATTTCTACTAGAGAATGGAATGTAATTTCTGGAATGTTGTCATTTTCATCTTGAATGGTAATTTCAACTGTACATTGTGCAGCCAATCCTCCACCATCCCTTCCTTCCACTACTATAGAATATTCTTTGATTTCTTCAAAATCCAGTGTCCTTAAAGTGGTAATTTCCCCACTCTTTGAATTCAGATGGAAAACTTGCCCAGTTCTGTAGAAGGAATAAGTTATTTCTGAGTTGGCACCTTCGTCCAGGTCGGTGGCTGACACTTGCAGGACAGAGGTGCCCGCGGGCACGTTTTCTCGTAGACTGACTCTGTATACGTCCTGGTTGAATACAGGGGGGTTATCATTGGCATCAGTGACCTGGATCCTGAGTTCTGTAGTGCCGCTTAGGGGTGGATCTCCGCCGTCCAAAGCAGAAAGAACTAACCGATGATAACTCTGCTGTTCCCGGTCTAAGGGTTTCTCCAATTTCAGTTCTGGGTATTTACTACCATCTTGTTTCTCCTTATTTATCAATGAGAAACTAGGGCTGAGAGAGAGTTTATAATTCTGCAAAGAGTTTAGGCCAATGTCTCCATCTTCCGCTACTTCTAATATAAATCTCGTGCCTGGCAGTGTGGACTCACTAATTTGCAGCTCAAAGGAATTCTGCAAGAATTTGGGGGTGTGATCATTAATATCCTCGATCTCCACACTCACGTGGAAAAAGTTCAATGGATTTTCAGCAACAGCCTCAAATTCCAGAGCACAGACTGGCTTCTTCCCGCATATCTGCTCCCGGTCCAGCCTGCTGCTCACAAGTAACTCCCCGCGCTCCGCGCTCACAGCGAAGTAAGGCTTCTCAGAACCCACTCGCAGCTTTCGGGTCGGTAACTCGTGGACACTGAGTCCCAGGTCCTTGGCGAGGTGCCCCACCACCGAGCCCTCGGGCATTTCCTCGGGAATCCTGTAGCGGGTCGGCTCCGAGAGCCCCGGGCAGAACAAAGACAGCAGCAAGGGAAAGAGCAGGGGCCGCCGCTCTGCCCAGCCCCTGAGCCCAGCGCCGCTCCCCATCCCTCTGGCTCCCCTCAGCTTGCTCACCGGCCCGAGGACGCCGGGTGACCAGTAATCTCTGTGTGGCAGATGTCCCGAGCTCCGAGCAGGCTTTACCTCCTGCGTGGGGGTGAGGGTTCTTCCTTTCCACTGGAGGACACGGTGGAAAGGCTGGCTCTGGCGAGTCCGAGACGAGGGAAGTGAGCTGCGGCTGCGCGAGGCGAGCGCCCTCCAAGCTCAGCACTCTGGCCAACAGCGGCGCCCAGAGTCCGCGGCAGGAAACTGCAGCCTTTGCGGCTTCAGGCTAACCAGTTACAGTCATTTCGAACATCATCGTGTGCTTGACTGTACAAGCCCTTTTTTAAAAAAAATATATATTTATATCTTACATTATAAGGTCCTTTTTAAGGTACCTTTACTCTAGTTTTCAAATTATTAGACATATTATGTTGGGTTTTTCTACAAACCTACATATACAGCGTGGAGCAAAAGTAGGTTTACAGTTACTCACATGGAAAATATACAATACTTAATAGTAATACGAGAAGAAACTTGTGCTCACAACTGTAAATCCACTTTTTCTCACCTTGTATTGGTGCATTCATTTCACCATTCTACAGACCTATATTAAGCTCTTTAAAAATTTTTTTGTTTTCTTAGAGAAAGGAGAAGGGAAAGAGAAAGAGAAGGAGAGAAACATTAATGTGTGGTTGCCTCTCGCGCGTCCCTCATTGGGGACCTGGCCTGCAACCCAGGCATGTGCCCTGACTGGGAATCGAACCAGTGACCCTTCAGTTCACAGCCCGCACTCAGTCCACTGAGCTACACCGGCCAGGCCACTACATCGGACTCTTGCCTTGCACTAAGTTCTGTTCTTATTCGCGGCAATATAACAATGGATCAGAGACAGGTATTGCCCTCAGACTTTACCATCTACTGATTTAAAATTCATATCTTTTTAAAATATATTTTATTTATTTATTTTTAGAGAGAGAGGAAGGGAAGGAGAAAGAGTGGGAGAGAAACATCAATGTGTGGTTGCCGCTCATGCATCCCCTATTGGGGACCTGGCCTGCAACCCAGGCATGTGCCCTGACTAGGAATCGAACTGGCAACCCTTTGCTTCACAGGCCTGTCCTCAATCTGCTGAGCTACACCAGCCAGGTCATCACAAATTTATATCTGTATTAGCTATGACATGTGAAATAAATTCTGACTTTCTTTTATTGATTCCTGTGTTTTGCCCCAACATTTCCACATAATTAGTGCTATTTCACATCACACATCTCTTAACTGATGTTAAGAGAATGTCAATACTGTTAAAATTACTGGTAAAGCTGTGTGATTTTCTACCAATCCTCAAACATCTCCTCCTTTTGATAATATCAATACTCTATTAAAATAATTTCCTTTTACTCTTCTGACTCCTCAGGAAGCATTCGTTCAGTAAAAACCATCCCTATGATGTAGCCTAGGAATGATTTACTTCATCCTCTTCTTCATATCTCAAAATTATTTGGCTTATGTCATACCCAATATGTAAGTTACTCTTAAAGGTTACTGGGGAAGTGTTTATCCGTTCTTCAATAGAAAGTCACAAAGGGATATTCCAACGGGCTGCATTACTTTCTTATTTATGTACCTATGTTATACTGAAGTAATGACTTTGGAATTGGAGGAATTGAGCTCGTGATAAGTATATTTCAATAAATTTACTGAATATAGAGATATTTTGTTCTAATTACTTCATTTTATTTTTTAAATTAATGAATGTTTTGACTAAGGGTAAGAATTTTATTTTTTATCAAGGCAACTTTCCACATACTTTTTAAAATTGCAACGTGTCAATAAGGTAGTTGTCACCTTAAATGACTGTGCACCCAAACATTATAGAAAATAGAAATTTACAGAAACATTACAGAAAATAAAAACCCCACCAACTGTATTTGCAAAATAGGAGGGAACACTGCACCATCCTTGGGAAATGCCTTTTTTTACTAACAAATGAATTATTGTATTTTCTCCTTTCACCTGATGGTGAAAATCAGGGGTTGGCATTCATTAAAATGCTATAACAAGGGCCCTGGCTGGTGTGGCTCAGTGGATTGAGTGCCGGCCTGCGACCAAAGGGTCGCCAGTTCAATCCCCAGTCAGGGCACATGCCTCGGTTGCAGGCCAGGGCCCCAGCAGGGAGCGTGTGAGAGGCAACTACACAATGATGTTTCTCTCCCTCTCTTTATCTCTCCCTTCCCCTCTCTCTAAAGATAAATAAAATCTTTTTAAAATGCTATAATAAGGAATACAGAAGACATACACATAGTTCAGACAGAATCATATTTAATTGAATTGATTAGCTTGTTTAGAATTTGTGTACACGCAATTTCTGTTCTTTGATCCAACGTTCTCAAACTCTCTTACCATAGAATGCCGCGTGTTTCACATGGCTGCGCCATCAAAACGCTAATTGGAATTCTACTGAAACATGGTCTTCTGTATGTTACAAAAGTCTCTTTCAACAGTTTAAAACTACATTTTACTTCAAAGCTGATTTTGTTGGTTTGTTTTTGGGGAAGGGGCAATGGCTCTTTTAGACTTTAGATTCCATGTCTCTATTTGTTTGAGGCTGGGTGACCACTAACACACAAACTCAACATTTAGAGACCGGTCAAACCTACCACCAGGATCCACCATTGCAAATATGTTTACATTTGGAAATATAAGAAGCATTAAAGTTTTGAAGGGCACCAATGCATACGCAGGGTTCAGAAAAGCAGTTTCAAGTGAAGGAATCTTTCAGAGCTTAGTTTTAGGTTCAAACCCTGAAGACAATGCTAAAAATTCTGATGTATTTTATTTCTACTAAGCTTATCCAAGGATTTAGGAATCTCAATAATTTCCCCTCAGTTCTAACTGAGGAACATATATAGTCCTATATATAAAACAAACTTACCTTCCGTGGTTGGGCAACGACTTCTTAAGTGAAGAAATGATAAGTCATAATTATTGTAGAATATGGAAGTCTTTAAAAGATTGAGATCACATTTAAACAGTTGTGCCCAATCTTTTGGGAAGTAAATGAAGCAAACTATGATAGTTAGAGCTCAATTTTATACTATCACCACTAAAATAACCCCTAAAATTTTGTGGTATAAATGAAAATATTTTTTAGAATTATTTATTTAGTTTTAAAGATTTTATTCATTTATCTTTAGAGGGGAAGAAAAGGAGAGAGGGAGAGAAATATCAATGAATGGTTGCCTCTCATGTGTCCCCTGCTGGGAACTGGCCTGCAACCCAGGCATGTGCCCTGACTGGGAATCGAACTGCGATCCCTTAGTTTGCAGGCCCATGCTCAAAATACTGAGCTACACCAGCCAGGGCTAACTTAAAATATTTTAAATTTTCTTCGTAATATATGCTTCTAAACACATAAATTTATTTTTTTAAATTCATCAGAAATAAATATAAACAAAAACTGAACTCACCTGTACAGAAGCAGCCTCATCCTTACTTTCATGAAAATCTATGGATGTTAATAAAGAACTGTTTTTCTCACAGCTCTCCTGGCTTATGAGTGTGTCAGCATAATTGGGCTGTGGGAATATCAGATGACTCTTCCCTGAGTCTGCAGTGAGAGAGACCTCGTGGGAGTAGGTCTGCAGGAACGCCTGTACTCCTTCCACACCCACAAAGCTTGAGGCTGGCAGGCTCACCAACCCTCTGCCTGAAGGCTGAAGCAGACTAGACTTGTGCCATCTCCACAGTCTGAGCACCAGAAGCACAATCACAAATGCAAGGAAGACACAGGAGACAATGGCCACAGCCACTACCAGGTACAATGTGAGGTCTGAATCATCAGAGTTGGTGGGGTTCTTGGTGTTGCCCAGGTCAGCTAAGACATCTGGGATGCTGTCTGCCACGGCCACAGTGAGGGTGACAGTGGCTGAGAGAGAGGGCTGGCCATGGTCCTGGACTGCTATCACCAGGCTCTGCTTGAGCGCATCTCTGTCCAGCAGGGCACGCGCAGTGTGCACCTCGCCTGTGTGCAGCCCCACCACAAAGAGCCCTGGCTCACTGGCCTTGAGCAGGCGGTAGGACAGCCAGGCGTTCTGGCCTGAGTCTCTGTCCACTGCCACCACCTTGGTCACCAGGTAGCCAGGCTCTGCAGAGCGGGGTGCCAGCTCCACACCAGTGGAACCATCAGTGGGGAGTGAGGGGTACAGAATTTCAGGCATGTTATCATTCTGGTCGAGAATGAACAGACTCACAGACACATTGCTACTGAGTGGAGGTTCTCCATTGTCCCTGGCAATCACCAGTAGCTGTAAGTCTCTGATCTGCTCATAGTCGAAGGAACACAGTGCATACAGCACACCAGTGTCAGAGTTGATGGAGATGTAAGAGGAGAGAGGTGCCCCCATGGTAGTGTCCTCCATCAGGGAATAAGTGATCTGGGCATTCTTGCCACTGTCAGGATCGTGTGCAGTCACAGAGAAGATGGAAGCTCCTCTAGGGTTGTTCTCTGAAATATAGGCTGAGTAGGAGGCATGAGAGAAAGCGGGTGTATTGTCATTGGTGTCTGCCACTTGCAGAATGATATGAGTTTCAGTAGATAAAGGTGGGGTTCCTAGGTCTGAGGCCATCACTGTGATGTTGTACATGGAGATCTTTTCTCGGTCCAAATATTTCCATGTCACTAATTTATAATAGTTATCTATTGACTTTTCTAGTTGAAAAGGCAAATTGTCATGTATGTAACAGACAACTTGACCATTTTCCCCAGAGTCTCGGTCATGCACATTTAAGAAGGCAATTACTGTTCCAGGAAGAGTATTTTCCAAGACTGGGCTAAACAAAGATGTAACAGTCACTTCAGGTCTATTGTCATTTCTGTCTTCCACTGAAATGAGCACTTTGGTCTTCCCCATAAGAGCCCCCACATCTTCAGCATGTATTTCCATTTCATAAAGTGCACATTCTTCATAATCTAGAGTCTTTGCTGTTGATATTTCTCCAGTGTTTTCATTAAGGTGGAATAACGGAGATTGTTTTTCACTAATTTTCCAGAATTTATATGCCACTTCTCCATTGGCTCCCTCATCCAGGTCACTAGCTCTTACAGTAAGCAGTAGGGTGCCAGGGGGCACATTCTCTGGGACTGTCACTCGGTAAATCGGTTGAGCAAACACCGGGGCATTGTCATTCACATCCAGCACTGTCACTTTGATGTGCACTGAGCTGGAGCGACGAGGTTCCCCTCCATCCGAGGCGATGAGCACCAAGTTGTGAGCAGCCTCTTCCTCCCGGTCCAGGCCGTGCTCTAGCACCAACTCAGGGCTTATAGTTCCGTCCTCCCCAGTTTGCACGTCCAGGGAGAAGTGGTGATTGGGGCTGAGCTGGTAGCTCTGCAGGGAATTCAAGCCCACATCTGGGTCAACAGCCTCTGGGAGTGGATAACGTGTGCCAGGCACAGCCATTTCGTTAATTTTTATTTCCATATTTTCGGCCTGGAATTTTGGGTTATTATCATTGATATCAGTGATTTCTATTTCTATCCCAAAAAGTTTTCCTCTATCCTCAATCAGGATGTTGATATTTACAAGACACCGAGTGCTCTGAGCGCAGAGCTCCTCCCGGTCTATTCTGCCTGCGGTGACCAAGCTGCCACCTCGCTGGTTTAGAGCAAAAAGCTGCGTCCTACCTCTGGAGACGATGCGGACTCCGTGCTTTGCCAGTTCTTGTGACTCCAGCCCCAGGTCCTTGGAGATGTTTCCCACGAAGGATCCTTTGTCGCTCTCTTCTGGCACGGAATAGTGAATCTGTCCCGTCCCCATCTCCCACAGCATGCCCAGGAGCGCACACAGCAGGACCAGCTCACAGCGTCCTCCGTAACTGTTTGGAGCGGCCATTGCTCTTTCATTATGGAATCCACTCAGAATCTTCATTGAGCAGATGTGTCTTGTTTACCTTTATGCGGCGGCTACGGAGATCACCCTATGGAAGGCTGGAATGTCCCAAATTAGGACGGAGTTCGGAGTTTGCTGCAGCCCTGCAGTTGATTTGCGGGATCTGCAGGGTTTTGTGAGGTGGGAACCCTGAGTATCCGGATGGCGTTTGGTTGCATTTATCTCCAAGTTAGGTGAACAGCGGCGCTTAGAGCCCTAAACAGTTACTGCACCCACTTAGATTTGTAATACTTTTTGCTAGATTATGGAGAAAAAAAACGACTTGCTTTTTACAGTTTGTTTTGCATTTATATGATTTATCCCTGAATTCATACTTTAAAAGTAATTGCCAAGAAGTATGGGATGGATGAAGTAAAGTTCTGCAAAGTATTATAAAATAATTAGATATATGGATTAGCATTGCATTAAATTACTCACATTTCTGGAAGACATTTACTCTTTTAAAAACATATTATAAAATTTTATTTATTATGCTCTAAGCTTTGTAAATGTCTTCAAATAAATAAAAACTCCAGTCGTCACTGGCAGGTAATTCACTCTTAAACTAAAATTGACCAATTAAAGATGATTGACTCAGAAGCTGTTTTATTTGCCTTGAATTAATATCTGTAGGGTTTTTTTTTGCTTTCTAATTTTAACTCAAAATGTCACATTGGTAGTGTTTCAAATGAATATTATAAAATCTCAACAGGTTAAGTTATTGTACTTTCAAGTTTTATCAGAGATCATATGGTTTACCTGTTTTATTACTTATACTTTTTCTATTTCAAGACACTTGAAAGGTACAAATGAATGTAAAATGAAGTCTCCAATCCATTCTTCCACAAATGAGAGACTTAATTACATTCTTAAGGTAGGCATACGTCTAAAGTTACTTTTACCTTTATGAGTACTTCGATCAAAAGAACCAGAAAAAAAATGAGGAACACACAATTATCACCAAGGAGTCAGAAAGTGCCAAACACAGAAACAACTAAAAAGGACACATGGACAAAACCAAGTGGGGGTGTGGAATCAGGGGAGGGAGGTGGGGATGGCTGGGGTGGGGGGAAGGAGGGGGGAAAGGCAGAAAACCGTACTTGAACAAAAATAAAAGAAAGAAAAAGAAAGTGCTGATACGAACGAATGTGTCTTCAGAAGTATGTAAAGCTAAGGGAAATCTCGCAAAAGGCTGAAAAGATGTATTATCATGTGTATATACTTGCTTACACATCGAATTAGTAATTTGGTATAGAATTTAGGAATTCAACTCTTCTTCTCCTAGAGATAATATAATAACTAGAAGACATCTAGCTATATTAGTTTAAGGTTGCAAAAGAAAAAAAAACGCAGTTCAAAACACTCTTTTTGATGAAAGAGTCAACCGAATGAGCTTCAATACAAATTTAGCTAGAAAAACCTATGCTGTAAGTAGGGAGAACATGCTTTTATCTTCCAGTGAGCACAGTGGACCTACTGGTAAACTGAAGGATTTTACACACACACACACAGTATAGAGTTACATTGTAACTCCATTGCATAGAGTTACAATGGGCTCATCTACATAAAAATCCAGGTTAAGATAAAATATTCTAGGTGCTTTACAAACAAAATGGAAGTAAATATGAGATAAAACATCAGATTAGTATGGAAACCATAAATTAAATTAGTTAAGAAAAATATAAAATTTTAGCTTATTTTTCCTTTAAAGACTTATTTAAATGACTGCCTACTTTTACATTTACAATATGTCCAAGCTGAAAAAAAAATCTACTAGGTGATAGGAAAGAAAATTTAGGAAAAAATCTCATAAGCTTTTATGAGAGAGCCTATCACATTGCCTAATATTTTCCTTTGTAGACAAAATCACACCCTCACTGCTTCCTATCTGAGCCTGGTAAGACATCCCCGAAAGACACATTATTGCTGATTTCAATCTCCCTTGAAGAATGATACGACAGCTTTTTGACTGGCTACAATTTTCTTAAGGCAACTTTTAGATTTGAAAATTGTATGTTTTTCTGTGAGTATGAAGAACTGGGTAGACCATAAGAAGCAAGTTATGCTTAAAGGAAACTCACCTGGTGGTAAGTAAGCTCATTGGAATTACAAAGTGGAAATAAGGCCCCAGATGAATCACCACAAAGTACATCTTGTCCTGAACTCAACTGCTCCTTACATTTTAGAAAATTGAACTCTGTCTTTCCAGCTTGGGCAACGCACAGATTGTAGGAGTAAGGTAAAGTCCCTTCACTGTAGATGGGGGGAACCACAGGTCCAGTCTTAGTACAGAGACCCGGCTGGAAGCAACTCCAGGTGGTGGGGCTGGAGGAGCGTCGAAGGCGCAGGGCCACCGCCAGAATCACCGCCAGGAGGAAGAGTACCGAGATCAAGGCCAAGGCCACCACCAGGTAAAACTGCAGCTCAGCCTGGGGGTCAGAGGGTGTGGGGCGTTCGCTGAGGTCCGGCAGGGCCTCTTGTAGGCTGTCAGCGAAGACCAGGAGCAGCGTGGCAGTGGCCGAGAGAGGGGGCTGTCCCCCGTCACGCACAGCGACCAGCAGGCGATGGCGGGTCGAGTCCCTGTCGCCCAAAGCACGCGCTGTGCGCACCTCGCCCGTGCGCAGCCCCAGGCTGAACAGTCCAGGCTCGCTGGCCTGCAGCACGTGGTAGGACAGCCAGGCATTGTGTCCCGAGTCCGCGTCCACAGCCACCACCTTGGTGACCAGGTAGCCCGGCTGTGCGGCGCGCGGCACTGTGTCGAAGAGTGCAGAGCCGTCGGGACCCAGCGCCGGGTAAAGCACCCTTGGCGCGTTGTCGTTGCGGTCTGTCACCAACACGCGCAGGCTGACATTGGTGCTGAGCGCTGGGGAGCCCTGGTCTCGGGCCTGCAGGGTCAGCTGGAAGGCGCGCAGGTGCTCGTGGTCGAAGGCGCGCTGCGCGAACACCACTCCGCTCTGCGCGTTCACGGACACGTAGGAGGACAGCGCCTGTGGCTCCAGGTCGCTGGCCACGATGGAGTAGGAGATGAGGCTGTTGGGTCCCAGGTCGGGGTCTGAGGCGCTGACCTGCGCAATGGAGGCCCCTGGCGGGTTGTTTTCTGGCACATGAACCAGGTAGGCGGACTGTTGGAAAACCGGGGCGTTGTCATTGACGTCTCCAATGTGTACTGTGATGGTGGTGCTGGAGGAGAGGGGCGGCTTGCCTCTGTCGGTGGCTATGATGGTAACATTGTGTTCAGGGATCTGCTCCCGGTCTAGAACTCCATGTGTCACTAATTTATACGTGTTTCTTGAAGAAGTTAGCAATTTAAAAGGAATATCACCTTCTAATTTACAAGTGACTTCTCCATTATCTCCGGAATCATTGTCACGGATTTTCAGTAAAGCAATATATGTTCCCAGCCTGGTGTCCTCCATAATAAGATCTGGTAGAGATTGGAATATCACTTGTGGGATATTATCATTTACGTCTAGGACTTCTATCTCCACGGTACATTGGGCAATCATTCCACCACCATCCCTTGCTTCCAAAACTATGGAATATTCTTTGACTTCTTCAAAGTCTAACATATGTCGAGTAGTAATTTCTCCAGTAGTAGAATTTAGGTCAAACTGGGTGATCTGGCCTGCTTCAGTGAAAGAGAAGGTGATCTCGGCATTGACACCCTCGTCCGGATCGGTGGCCATCACTTGAGTCACAGTGGTACCTGGGAACACGTTTTCCAGTAGGCTCACTCTGTAGAGCTCTTGGCTGAACACTGGAGGGTTATCATTGGCATCAGTCACTAGGACTTGTATCTGTGCAGTGCTGCTTAGGGGTGGATCCCCGCAGTCCAAGGCAGTCAAGGTCAAGTGGTAGAACTTCTGCTCCTCCCGGTCTAAAGGCATCTTCAGTACTAGCTCAGGGTATTTACTACCATCTAATTTTTCCTTATTCACGAGTAAGAAGTGATCATCAGGACTTAGCTGGTAACTCTGTAGTGAGTTGGTACCAATATCTGCATCTTGGGCAAATCCTAAGATAAATCGTGCCTCAGGTTTTGTGGACTCACTAATTTGCAGCTCAAAGGAATTCTGCAAGAATTTGGGGGTGTGATCATTAATATCCTCGATCTCCACACTCACGTGGAAAAAGTTCAATGGATTTTCAGCAACAGCCTCAAATTCCAGAGCACAGACTGGCTTCTTCCCGCATATCTGCTCCCCGGTCCAGCCTGCTGCTCACAAGTAACTCCCCCGCGCTCCGCGCTCACAGTGAAGTAAGGCTTCTCAGAACCGACTCGCAGCTTTCGGGTCGGTAACTCATGGACACTGAGTCCCAGGTCCTTGGCGAGGTGCCCCACCACCGAGCCCTCGGGCATTTCCTCGGGAATCCTGTAGCGGGTCGGCTCCGAGAGCCCCGGGCAGAACAAAGACAGCAGCAAGGGAAAGAGCAGGGGCCGCCGCTCTGCCCAGCCCCTGAGCCCAGCGCCGCTCCCCATCCCTCTGGCTCCCCTCAGCTTGCTCACCGGCCCGAGGACGCCGGGTGACCAGTAATCTCTGTGTTGCAGATGTCCCGAGCTCCGAGCAGGCTTTACCTCCTGCGTGGGGGTGAGGGTTCTTCCTTTCCACAGGAGGACGCGGTGGAAAGGCTGGCTCTGGCGAGTCCGAGACGAGGGAAGTGAGCTGCGGCTGCGCGAGGCGAGCGCCCTCCAAGCTCTGCACTCTGGCCAACAGCGGCGCCCAGAGTCCGCGGCAGGAAACTGCAGCCTTTGCGGCTTCAGGCTAACCAGTTACAGTCATTTCGAATATAATTGTGTACCTGACTGGAAGATTTTTAATGTCCAAATATTTAATAATACTTAGTCTGTACCACCAGAAACCTCATTATCCCAGGTTTTAGAGAAATCATATAGATTTAGTACATAAATTGTTAACATAATTATTCCGCACTAGTAATAGAAAGATGACTGTAACACAGACTTGGTCTAAACAATCTTACTGTAATTTTGAATACGTATT